TAAAGAAAGAGTAAGCGATCGATAAAAGGAGTAAAGATAAGCCACTCTAAAATGGGCAACATTGTTCTAAAGTAGAGAAAAAGTTAACTGGATTTCCTGAAAAATCAAGAGAAAAATGTCGCGCTTGTCGATTTATTTATAATCACCACTACGTTTTCAATATAATCATTGTAAGACATTCCATACGTTAACAAAAAAAAAAAGAAAATAAGCACAGCAAGATTCGGCATTAATGTAATCCTTTAAACACATCTACTTGGAAAATCTAAGATTATTTTTTTAGGGGAAACAATGTATCCCTACTGTTCTTTTTTTTGTCGTACAAGATGATGATTCTAACAAAATAGCCATAAAATTGAAATCCATCTATTAATTATCCAAATGAAGTATCGCTAATAAATGTATATGAAAAGTTAAAAGGATCGCTGACTCATCAAAACTAAACTTTTTTGGAAAAAAGAAGTGCATTACAGAGATCTGGTATGTAATCCAATTAACTCTCATATATCATCGTAAAATTTTAAAAATATTTTTTCAATTGCAGCAACAGAACTCTTTACACAAGAAATATCCTGAATGATAATTAGTTCGAAAACTGAAGCAATATTCCGACGATGACTACTGCGACAAACAAAGATTGCGTCAAAAATCTTAAACAGTCGCCAAAAACACCAAAATTCTTCCAGAAACCACGGTACATTGCTATCAGGTCCGCTGATCTGAAGTTTGAGAAAAGAGTCATAATTTTTTTTTTTCATAATTTTCAAAGGGAACTCAAAATCTTTTTGCAGAAAATTTTTAATTTAAAGAAAAAAAAACATGACAACAAAGGCAATGAATCCATCAAGTGATCTGGTATTCCAGAAGAATCTTTGTATAAAAAAGGCACAAATACGGGTCTCAATTAAGGAGATAGTACAGGGAGCAACGGTAATTATTAAAATATCGCATGTGGATTGTATATGTAATAATGTACGTATAATAAATGATTTACTTTTTCCTATTTCTACATTGAGAATGAGAGAAAAGTCCATCGAAGCTTGACTGTTCTATGCAACCTGCAAATGATCTGTTGCTATTCAAAGAGATGTCATATGACTGTCGCCGTTCTGGGACTTTCAAAATTTCGTATGCTGTAGTTAGTTCGACAAATGCTTCATTTTGTCGTTTTAGTTCCTGGTGATCATTTGAGCAGTCCTTCTTGTCTGGATGTAACTAAATTTCGACTCAGTTTTTTTCACTCTTCACATTCAGAAAGAAATGCATAAAACCATGAACGCATGACCCGGCGGTCATTTCCTTACACATTTCTTTCCAAAAAAAAGTTCCGGAAAGTAATAAACGGTCTCATGATATCCAAAAATTCTCACCATTTCTTCTATCGTCAAAAAAGAATTTTTCCAACAACTTTACAACTTCGCGGCAACAGAACTTTACACCAAACTTCATTACTTAATTGAAGACGAAAGCTTCATATTATTGGAAAGAGCTCATTATCTTACGACAGAAAATGAAAGATCTCTTAAAAACCTATAAAGCATAAAAACTACTCATTTTATGAAATTTGTTGTATACTGACTTTTTTTGATCTTTCATAATAAGCTGCTTTAATTTCTGCTTGTGTCGCATTCTTTGAGACACCGAGTATTTCGTAATATGTAGAACTGCAAATTATTCATGGTTATAGATAGCGTTTGTGATACATATTTTCAGTTATGCGGTGATCATGAATGAAAAAAAAAAAGCTAAAGATTGTTGTTTAACTCATTACTACCAGCGTAAGCTAGAAATAAAGTCTGAATAAAGAAGCATGTAAAGTCATATTCTTTACGGAGGGTTACTTGATCTCTCCAAAAAGGTAAGAGTTCGTAAATCTGAAGAGACTTTTCCATATGATAGAACAATTGCTGCCTACATGGAACAAGTTCTAATAATGTTTCTTGTACATTTCGCTGCCATTGCCCAACCAGAAAAAGCGTGAAGGAGCTGCAATATTGCAATGTTGGAAAAAGTTCAGTCAGTCTTTATTTCTTTTTGTTCGATATCCTTTCACCAACATTACTGTCTGATAAGAAATTAAAAAACAAACGCTATCAAGCAACAACAAAGTAATCCGCGAGGTATGGGTTACATCATTCATGGAGAGTTACCAAATAGTTCAAAACAAACAAGTAAGTTGAAAGCTACATATTCGACTAATTTTCTCCCGCGAGAGTAGTGGAAGAAAAAGAAAGATGAAGGAGATAACAAATCTCTCGTGAAAGAAAAAAGCGACGGCACCGTAAATTATTCATTCATTCTAAACCAAATCAATTACTGATATCTGAAATCCTCAGATATTAGTCACAAAATATTCCCTAGCAACTCACTCTATCACAGGTTCTTTGATTAAGATTAAATTACTTAAACTAGCTTTCTGAGAACGACTTTGATCATAAACACTCCCTACCAATTCTGATGTGAAATATTTCACTACCGCTGCATGCTACAAATCATGAAATGGGTTCTTAGAGGAGGATGGAGTGGGTTGTGATTTAATTGGCAGGTTTTAAACTGATTTACTTAGGATCGGCTGTTATTGTGGGACATTATTATTTGATGTATGTTTTACTCTATTAACATAGAGTACTCGATAATTCTCCTCAATTACATCTTTTAGATAAATCATCGGTTTAATTAATTAAAATTATTGATGTTATGTTAGCGTATACTGGACACAGTCTAAATCGATTCGATCTTTCTCAGGATTATCCGTAAATTAAACTTCATCACATAGTTATTTTCGTGTTTGTAATTTAAGACGGCAAGGATAAGTGAATTAATCAGGTTTAGGACCTGAGAGGGAATATAACTTATTTCTTCCTTTTTCTAACTACGTTCTTCTGCAAAAAATAAAATTTCATGGGAGTTTAGCACAATTTCGATATAGTCATAACATAATTCCACTTCAAAAATAAAACTACTTGATACTGGTCTGTCAGACGGATGAATGTAGTACACAGCACATGTATTGCGTCGTGAAGTAGCAATAATATGTAATGAAATACAAGTAGATAATAGTATTGACAGTTTTATGTATGCAACTTTCTTTCATGTACAAATGAAAAGTAAAACATTCCCTGAATATTAAGATTTATGTCTTTCCGAGCAAAAATATATGAGATCCAGTCTTCCTTCCAGGGCAGTACGACGTCCTTGTTATAGATGGCGATATGTTGATATACATTTGCGACGTGAATATAAATCTTTTTCTTCCTTTAAGACATAAATTAGTTCTATTTTATTCATTCTATTTCGATATTCTTTATCACATCGCCATATCGCGTCATCAAGACTCATAAATCAGCAGTTTACACAGTACACTTCGAATAGTAATCATTTCCTTGAAACAACTTATACAACCTCCAAACAGCAATAAATACATTGAGCTTTTGTGGAATTCTTTCAACAATTAAAATCACTTTGTTTTTTTTTTTGTCTTTTTTTGGATGAACGAAGTTCACTTATAAATTTAGTGAATCAGTTTCCATTTAAATTACAGAAAGACTAAACAAGCATTTTATCCTATACTTTTATTTCACTTGTCATTTTTGAATAGCATGAACACTTTTTACGATTTTTCTTTGAAGTGTTTCATTGATAATCGTTAATCACTTATTGAGGGTATTAAGTAAAGTATGGAAATAAATAAATAAGCAGTTGCAAAGTATTAATTAATGAAGCATTTACAATGTAATTTGTAAATCAGTGGAAAAGGAGGAGGATTCAGTTCTGATTTAACATTTAGAATTCCTTGGATCGCATAATAACTTTAGAAGGTACTACTACTACTTAAGAAATCGAACTGATATAAAAATTATGATTCTTATTAAATAACTTGATGATGGAAATATGTGGCAGGATTGGGAATGATTTTATTTGCAACAGTAGTGTCATACTGGACTTCAAAAAGAAAAATCGAATCGTTCAAAGTTTTTAAGCAGGGTGAGATCTCCCAAACGGACACAAACTTTTGCTCGTAAGATCAAAAGGGTTGATTAATCATGAAAAATCTCATTCGCATTTTAAACGAAATTTGACTTGAAAAGAAAACATAAGTGTCAAACATTGATGACATCTCTTTTGTTGATCTCGTTTAAATATAGTGACCAAATAGTCCAATTTACTCTAATCACTTGATCGACATTCATATCTTTTCACTGCAACGTACATTTCGAAAGACCATAACTGTTACTGCTAAGACAGTGCAGAGTGCTATCTGTAAAGCTGGTTCTCTTGAATTTAATTTAAATATTTAAAAAGCTAAGTAGAAGCCAATTTATTGGAATTGATTATTGATTACATTTTCAGTCTGTCTTTTTCTGTTTATGCTAATATTTTCAATATGCTCCAAAATGGATATTTATAAGTTTTCCATTAAAATCTAATTTTTTCTATAAACTAAGCTAAGTTAGTACAAAATTCTAAATTTTTCTATAGGAAAAATAGGAAAATTATTCCATTGGGTTTGTTTTCTTTAAATGTAATGATTTACTCTCACATTTATTAAAAAATTTCATTCTTTGTATGAATAATTCACTGGCTATGCTTAATAAGATAGGAGAAAATTTCTAATATTCAACATTTCATGACGAGTAGTTCTGAAAGGTTAAGATAGTCATTAAAATTTATTAAAATAAGAAAAAATTTACCAAAATAGTGAAGAGAGCGATCAGAACAAAAAAATTCCATGTTACACAAACAATGTTATCATGATTCATTTCATTAACAATCTCTTCCGATAATCTATGACATCCTCTCCTAAATTATCACTATCGAAATAAAATACAACAAACTATCTACATATTTGAACATCAACTTAACTAACAACAAATTACGTGATCAATTAACAACTTTTACAAAGCAATGCGCTTGGATATGTGCCTCAAAGTTTCATGTATTGTTCCTCCTAAGATCTGCTTTTGGCTAGAACTAAAGAAATTGCAGATGGAATTAAGAACTTACTTTCGAAATTGACTATCGAAGTCCCGAATCTCGAACTGTTGCGAAACGATGTCTAATATTAGTGCTTCATCGTTTCCTGTCATATAAAGTAAATCTCTCCTGTAAATTTCCTATAAAACATAAATACCCATTCTTTTCATAAAATGATTTACATTCTAAATAATAACTACTATATCTGTAAGCCGTCATACTTCGCATACTTTATAGAAGAAAAATAAATTAAGTCTTGTCATTTTCATCCATTAACCTAGACTATGTTTATAATCTTTATTCTCACCACTACTCCCGCTTTTCTGTTGGAAGAGAATTGTACTAAATTATTGTTCCGATGATTATCAATTGCTTCTTAAATAAAATAAAACAACATACTGATTTCTATGATTGCTAGGACAATTTGGTTTAGGACATTGATGAGCTTTTGATGACAATAAGCTTACTTGACATTGAAAATATACGTAAGGTTTATCAGCGACGCCAAAAACAGATACGTTTTGTTCAACATTCAGCTGTAAAAAAAAAAGCTTCAATTTCACTGAAATGAAAGAATGGAACATTTCTTCTTTCAAAATCATAAGTTCGAATTTATATAAATGTCATTCTCCTAAAAACTGCAGAATCTTATTCAAGTGGAATTCATTCGTTCAATAATTCTTTATGAAAAAAAATCTTAAGAGAAAAGAATGTATACATTGTCAATGTAGATCAGATCTGGAAGTACAGTACGATCTGTGGAACATCCTTTATTATCGATAAGCTGATGCTTTGAATCACTCGCTATCAAGAAACAGTTAGTGATAACAAGACATAAATCTTGATCAGAACGAACGCTACAGGACCAACGGTGACGGACCATTTCACCGATAATCGCTTCATTCACAATCTCATTGTTTTTCAAATTTCGTATCTGATATTCACATTGTGGTATTGACGTCGACCCTTGAAAAACATCTGGAAGAGGAAAAAATTAAGCTGAAGTACTATCGCATAACAGATCTACTATAGATATTGCGATAATTGCAGATTCTGCAGATGCATGATTTACAATTATTTCTAATTCATTGGTTCTTCAACTCATTTCAATTCATCAGATATGTGAAAATAAAAGAAATTTTACCAGTGGAAGTGGTAAGAGGTACAACTGATCCTGGAAATAATGATTTATCTGACGATCGAGTATGCAAGCATCGCAAAAGATAGATTCGATCACCGGCGGTAACGTAATGAGGATGAAATGATATTAGCACTGACGTTGCCACTATTACACCTACTGGCCTTAATGACCTGAAAAAGAGTAAATCATAGGACTCTAATATCATATGTGTCTCTTTAAGTTAATTTAATTTCATCCTGAAAATTTTCTTGAAGTGTTCAGAAGCATAATTTAGGCGTAATTTTTGAGATGAAATTTATAACAATTAAGTTTTAACATATTTCTTAAAATAATCAATAATTTTATAATGTTTCTTAAAAAAAACTCATTACACATTTATTATTTAAAAGATTTTAATGTTTATTTTTCTTTTCCACTTTTTTTTTGAAAGGTTTTGTCTGAAATGTTAATAAAAAAGCAATTCCAGTTGACTATTTCACTCATTAGCTCATAAAGTTTCATACTGAAATTATATAAAATTATATAAAACATATAAAATTAGGTTTTATTAAAAGATACTAATCTCATATGGCTGTTAGAAATGAAAATTTGTTGGAAATGTTATTTAAGAATTACTCTAAATTTCAAAAGAAGATGCAGGGACACGCAACTTTCTCAACAAACTTCTTTAACAATACTCATTCCTGTCTTTTTTCCGAACTGGAACTTAATGAGAATAACAGATTTATAATGAAAGGAATAGGTGCTAAAATTTGCATAATGAACCTGCAAATAAGGTTAAAGACTATAAACGATGTTTTGAACAACAATATATGTTATATTTAACTTATTTCTTTAATGCTTCCACGAAATAATTTAAAATCCAGGGATTTTTATCTGCCGCTGAGCTAAATCAATTTTAGTACAAAATCGTAAAAAGCTTCAATAATTGAAAGAATGTTTGGAAAATAAAAAGTGGCCCTTTTGTTCTACGGTGGGCGCATTTCAGCTATTTGAAAAGTTTCGTTAATATAAGAGAAGCATAAAGAAATAAGGAAAAGCTTGCGATTTCCCTCTTCCTCCTTCAATTTCACAGACATTTTTGTGATTTCTTTCTTAAATCATACCTCTAAGGCTCGTTCATCACTTCGTTTCACTATTCTCGTCACTAAGCCTTTTTCTTCACATGCAATAATTCTATGTTTGATGTAGTAGAAAGGATCAAATTCTGTAACATTAATGCCACGAAGACGTAGAAATGTCGATAGTGTGCGGGGGAGAAGTTCAATCGAGCATAAAAACTTTCTCACTGCCCAATTTTTCGCATCAATTAATTTCCCAAAATAAGGAAGTAAAATGAATAGCTTTTATTGATGTACATTACTGCATTCTGTAGTGAAAAAACTTTATCATTGAAATAAAGTTGTTGTCAATTAAATGTGCGGGTAGAAAGATATTTTTATAACTTTTGAGGAAATTTTAGCAAAACATTTACTACAGGATGTCACGAACCTGACATTCAAAGCAGTTAACACTGGTTCTCAAATGTAGCGAGGAAAACAAGGAACACTTCTCTCTTGTAAATCTTTTTACACAAGCAAATTTTTTTTTAAAATTACTATTTAGAAGCAAAAATTTGGCTTTCCAACAGGTTTCTATTACTTCCACTGTTAGAATTTTCTACTTATTACTTCCTTTCCTAGTGGCTTGCAAAATTTTCGCTATTTCAAAATCTCAAAAGTTATTCGTCATAAAAAAATGATCATAATTTAAAATTAAAGAGAAACTAGGTTTTCTAGTTTAAAGGCAGTAGAATATCCTAAATGAAAATCTAACTTCAGCAGTTTTTAGATTTGAAAAATCATTTATTTCTAGTAAATAAAGATAATGAATAATATATTTTTGGAATAGATTTAATAAAATGAATGTTTATGAAATGCATGGCTTGTTGATTAACCTGAACTATCTAATACTTTCGACTAACATTTTCCAGCAAATAATTACGGTACGATACGAATTAAATATCCCATTAGATATTCATGATTGCTAGTTGAAAAAATATTAAAATTAAATGTTAAAATGAGTAAATGTCAAACAATTCTGGCAACAAAATAATTTGTTCGAAAGGACTGATTGAATAAAAAGTGTTAATTAACCGAGTTCATCAATAATGAAAAAGTTTCATGTAATGTTATGAAAAACTTATCATTTCAATTTTGTGAAAAAAGTTTTTAAAACATAGGTTGAGCCGAACCAACCTTGTTCTGCTCACTTGACAGTCCTGATGTGGGATGAGAAGTTCTATTTGATTATTTGTCACCAGTACCTGATAGCAGAAACGATTCGGCGCATGTCGTACATTTATATGACCAACAAAGGTCATGCTTGTTCTCCATTTCACATATATTGCATCTGCTGAACAACTAAAATGATAATACCCTAACAAGTTAAGCATTATAAATAACCTTCGGCAATATTCAGCATTTTAATAAGCGATATATTGAATTCCTACATTAAAAATCCTAAATAACTGTTATCAAATCTTGTAAAGCTAATGATTTAATTTAACCTATTAAACAAAACCTTAATCTCGAAAGTGATACCTGATTTTTTTCTATCTTATTATTAATAAATGCCTATTTTTACGGTTTCTCAGCTTTTTAAGAATTTTTGGAAATGTTCAAGTTTGCAATCTCAACAAATATATGAACTTGGATGAAATTATAAGTTTCTCAAAGAAAAAGAATTTAAATGATTTCGAAAAAAAGAGATAAATGAGTCTGAGATTTGTTGGAATGATTAGAAAATGGGCAAAATATTTTTTCATTTCGTTTTCCTGTTACTTTCATGAAGGTTTTAAAAAACATTCAAAAACATTGTTATAGTGATACTATTATTAATATCTCTTTTCATGGGACACTTCTGTATTCATTTTTGAAAGCGTTTAAATTTTAAATGACTCCCAGTAAAGCGCTGATGAAATCGAGTTATAGAAGATGTCGTGAAAGCTTCAACAATGAGAAAAAGTTCAAAAATATGGAATATGTTATGACTTTTTTATTTACTTCAAATCATTTCTGCCAGTAGCATTTTTTACTCTTTCCTTTTCCGGAAATTTCACTTTTCTTCACTGTTAACATTTCCTCTCATAACAAATTCACAATAAATTCCTCTCAGAGTTAGAAAATTTGTCATCGTTCTCCATCTTAACATAACATCTAACATGACAACTGTATAATACCGGAAACATATTTAGTATTATCTCAAATACACGATTTACATTCCGAGATAAAAATCGACACAAAAACCTGTTTTTGACTGATGTTTCACATAGAATTCGACAAGCGTATAAAAGGCGTAAGAATTTTATCCATTAACTTTTTCCAAATATAACAAACAAATGAATAAATATGCAAAATCGAAGCATTAATAAATGAGAAAAATCAAAATATCAATATTTTATCTTCAAAGTAAGCTTGTTAAAACTGTGGTAAAGAAGGCTTAAAGTAATGGAACAAAAGGTTTATTTTTATTCATTTTTACTAAAATTTTAACGCTATGCTAATTTTCATAATATAAAAATTCATGCATTTTACAAACAAATTCCAAAAAATGCACATTCATTAGAAACTGCAAAGTACGCCAAACTATCTTATCGAATTCAAGTTTTTATGTTTTTTTCATTCGGATTTCAAAATATAATTCTTGGGAATTTCAATGAAGTTCACGCAGTTACGGCTTTTTTCTGAATCTTTAAACATGATCCGAAAGATTGATAATAATGGATTTTCATTATTTAATCATTACAATGAAGAGATTCTGAGTTGATGAATGTATCGTTGAGAAGTAAAATATTGAAATGGCGGTATGAACAATGGAGAGGATATCTTGTCATAAATCTGTGCAGAGCAAACGAGCAAAAAGCCAAAGGAAGAAGAATAGAGTTGGGCTAATGTGCACTATTTTGCAAATTCACTAGGACAGAGTTTTTTTTTAGCAAGAAGGACACAATGAAAAAGCAATAAATTAGATTAAGGTAGAAATCAAATAAATAATTCTATGTGTCACAGCAGTAACTGTACAGTAAGTAATTGATAGCCATGATAATCTGATAACCGCTATCATTCTCAGTCTCTCCTTCAAACTTGAAACAAAATGATTTCTACTAACCTGATGAATGGTTCCCCAACGATTTCATTTGCAAGTAAGACAAATGCATTTGTTGTAAGAATATAAATAGTTGCTAGAATATGTTGCTCTGAGGTATACGGCATTTTCAGAACAAAATCTAGTGATGAAGATGAGAAACGGTAGGTGACAGCAGCGATAACGACAGTGGTGTAAGTAGCAGTGACTCGAAACAGAATGCTAGTATTTCTATTAACAACAAGTTAAAAAATTTTACAGCAGAAGGAGAAAATAATGCTTCATGCATCAGAAACGAGAAATGTAAAATAGTTGAATTTTCTTCAACTAATATCAAAGATTATCTTCGGAACTGTTTTCATCAAACAAGAAAACAGTTCGTTCGAATTTTGTTAACTATTTGTTTCTATCAATTAGCAGTAAGGTGAATTTTAGTAGTGCAAACAATACTAGTAATAACAGCAAAATGATGTGGGATCGCAGTGTAAAGTGATTTCTATTATTATCAATAATATCAGTACTGATATTAGCAGCAATGGCAGTAGTAGTAATAATAATAAATGAATAGCATGATATATCAGAATGTTTATTAGCCCCTCAGGGATATAACCAGAATCCTAACATTCCTGACTGATACCAGTTCTAGAGAACAGCAAGTCTGTCTCTTCATCATTTTTAAAATATGAAAAGGTGACAGCAGCAGACGGAAAGATATGTCCTCTTCCTCGGCAATGTGCCCTTCCCTCAGCCATTCATTCACTCCTTCCCATATGTATTATTCACCCGATCTGCCTATTCCAATCTCTGGGACCAGCAGACAACCCGCCCGCCTCTGTTGTTACGGCTACAACTGATTTCACTTCAATGTTGGGACACTACTCGAAAATTTCACAGCTAAATTCATTCTCTTCCGCTTCTTATGAACAGAACAAGTCTGGATTTGAAGCATTCCGTGTCACACGCAAGAGAAGAGATGACTGCTGGTGACAATACAACTAACTCTCACTAATACATTCTCTGAAACAAATGTTTTTGCACTTTTGCTGAATGCTACTGTTGAAAAGAAATGAAGAAGAAGGTTCATTGCATGTGACAAACGAGCTAACCATTCAAAAATGTACCACGAATCACAGACCACTAAGTATCACTGAACTTTAACATCTCTTATTCTCAATGTATACCTCCCTGATTTGAAACTATTTTAATTTTTTATTGAATCAATTTTCAAAATTTCTTAGTTCAAATTATCTTCAAGAATTACTCAAATTTATTAAAATGTTGCTTTGGCTTTTCGAGAATAATTCATTTCTCACTTATTTTAATTAGGTTTCAAAATCTAAAACGAAAACTTTTCCCATTAACAAAAATTGTGATACGCCAAAAAGAATAAAATGAAAGATGCGAGCATAAAGAAGAAAGCAATAATTTTCGCAAAATTGGAATCCTTTTATTTTTACTATTGATGAAAGTCGCTTTTTTATTAGTCATTTAAAAGTTCATTTGAAATATTCAGAAGTTGAATTGAAATGATTTTCAGAAGAATATCTAGCTAACACTTTTCTATATCGATTATGCTGTTACTGAAGAGGACCTCAAAATTGGCTTTTGACTTTTATTTGCTTAAATTGAGTAAATCACTTTGCTCTAAAAATTTAACTAATTATACTTTGAATGGTGCACAAACGATGTGATAATCCAATTTTAAAAAGAGGAAACATTTTGCCTATTATTAATACTAATTTTATTCTTCAAGATTGATGCCAAAATGCTTGAATTTTAATTTCACATATACAAATGCATTGGAATAATAGTGCTAGTAAAAACTGTTTCATTTATTCTGGGATTTTTCATTTTCGAATAAATGTGCAATTAAACTTGCGATAGTCAGAAAGTAGTAGACTTATACGGCAATTAAATTATTGACTATTATTCATTACCGACCTCTACCTATCATAATAAAAGTGTAACAATTATGCATAGACAAACCATTCTGCTCTATTATTGCGTATAGATGTCGCATTTCTAAAGCAGATGTCTTTACTGTTTTGCTTCACTCAATCTCATTTCTAAACATTTTTGAGAATGAAGGAAATGAAAAAGGAAGAAAGATGGCAACAAAAGAAAATTGACTCTTATGTGGTCTGTTTGTGCGGAAAAATGAAAGTGAAAAAATTAGAGGATAGGAAGAAAGTAGATTATGGCAGTTGATATCTTCGTTTAATATCCATCCGGAATTAAACTAGGCCAAAGGATGATGAGTTGCATCATTCATCTTATCCTGATCCTAATTTTTTTCTTTGTTGATGTAACTACGAAGTAATTTTACAAATCAAAAATTTTCCGTTGATTTTTGAGTTTCATCTTTTTATCTGGAGGACAATTTTCATTATAATTTAACGAAGTTATTTACTTAATGACTGACATCATCCATAGTTTTTAACTTTAAAATGTTTAAAAAAATGAGTCCTACTTGCATGATATTTTATCGTTGCATTCAATATGAGCTTTTTCTTTAATTTGAAGTGAAAACGTTTTCAAAAACATTTACATACTTTTCCGACATAAAATTGGAAATCTTGAAATATGACATCAAAAATTTTCTTTTCTTGCAGCTAATTGTATGATGAATTTATTGAAACGCATTTAATTGAGACCCATATAATCACACTTCACAAACTAGTAAACGCACTAAATGAAGGTATTGCACTTGTTTTCCAAACTTCTTCTAATGAAATGAATATTTTTTTTGTTTTCCATGGTTGAAAATTTGTCTTATTTCAACATCAAAAATAATTTTGAAATAAAACGTTGAAAAAACAAAATTACTGCCAAAATTAATTAATGCTGTAAAGCTTTCTACAAACCGTGAATTGTACAATGATTGAAAATAAAGCAGTTAAGATTTGCATATAAATTTATATCAAATATATATTGATTACTTTCTAAACTTTTAAATTTTATCATTCATCAATAATGGGTCCAACAATTTGTAATTTCAAGATGGTGTAGTGTTAAAAATTTGATTGTTAGAACAATTTTTAGACCAAGAAAGAAAAAAAAACTTTTTTTCCTTAAATTTTTTATGGTATTCAAGATTTATTATATTAAAAAGTTTCTAAAATTGTTTCATGAAATATTTTCTTACGATATGTCTAAAATTTTGCTTGCTGACTCGTATTATCTAATTATTTAATAAAATGATCATTTTTTAGTGCAATGAACATTTGCGCTTCTATTTTTGAACTTCCCTTTCGGCAATTACTTCGACAAATGCAATCAACAACTGGTTTTTGAGCAATCTCATCATGTCACAAAACAGTGATGTTTTCTGTTCATCTTCTCTAATGGTGATCATTTTAAAATCTTTTTTTGTCATTATTGCACGGATACTTCTTGAAGTAATTATCCCATGTATGTCGTTAGCTGAAAGCTCTCCCGAGTCTGATTTATGGATAAACACGACTTATCAAGCTGAAGACCTTGGAATTCGATATGGAAAGTTACCTCAGTGTGAAGCATGGAATTTATGGTGGAAATTACAGGTAAGTTAATAAAATGCAGATGTGATCGCCATCTGAGCAGAAAAAAACTTCCTCGAAAAAAAAAGAATATTTTGATGCATAATTGATTGAGATATACTTGTATCGACAAATTCTTACATATGCTAGCACTTTTATATTCGATTTTATTTTAATATTTAAGAACTCATTAATTTCATGCTAATTTGCGATTTATTTAAATATTTGTTATAATATGTTTAATATGCTTAAATATCTAGTTCTATACTTAAATACTTAATTTTGAAAATCTTTTCAATCCTTTCAGGTAGGTGAAATTACACCTACGGCAGAAATCATTGATTTGTTATCAATACGAAAGATAGAAGTATCGTTGAACAGTATAGTACAGCTAGTAAAATTTGGTTTGCCAAAATACCTGCTCTCTAAACATAAGGTTGATTTATTCTTCTAATTTTCAATTCAGTTTTAGTTTCTAATTTTCATTTTTTTACTTAATGTTTTTTTCTTAATTATCTGAAATCACATTCACCATTTTTACATACCATTTGTAAATATATAACTGTTGAACAATTCGAAAATAAAGCTATTTCTTTTATAATCTGAAATGCATGCAATTTAAGGTAGTGCATGTCAATTTCAAGAAAGTATGCAGAAATTACAGTCGATATTTGCTGATTGATTCCTTCTCTGCAGCAAAGTGAGTTCTTCACCTTTATCATCTGAATTTCAATTCTTTAGAAAATGGTGCTTTCCTAGAGCAAATTTATAATTTTTCTGATTGATCCGTTTCAAATTATGGAAGTAATCGGAAAATTTTTGAGTATTTTTCTTTATTTCAACTAGTAGAAGAAAATGATCCAAAAAAGTAAAGGACTGTGCTAAGTTCGAGCTGTTTAGGAAGTATGGAATTAATTTATCTGAAATATGCAATAATTATGAAACTGGAAAAAAAACATCGTTGAGTATGATAGATGACAGAAACAGTGAATCATACGTCCCAATCAGGTAAATTTGAAACAAAAATAGAAATATTATTTTCATTATCTAAGCGACACATGATTGCTTCTTTTTTATTTATGAGTTTTTTTTTTTTTTATTGAAGGATAAGTGAAGAAATAAAAGAAGAAAGTCCATTTCTAAAGATATCAGGTTTGAGCAGAAAACATATGTAATTGCTCGAAAATGATTCAATTATTTCCTAATAATTGTTGGAGTTTTAAAGCAATTATATTTGTTTTATAACTTTAAAAATGCCAAAGTATTTAGCGTTTTCCACTATTCAGCACCAAGAAATCTTGGAAGCCTGACATATTAGAAATAGCAGCAAAGAAGCCAAGTATTTTATTCACTACCAAATACAATCAGAATTATGTTTCGCAGCCGGTCGATAGATTGCCGCTAATCTCATCAGGAGAAATTCGTATCATTAACCCAAAAGCGGTTCAAATCACTTATCAAGTAAGTGAACGCTGAATTAAAGAATTTTTTGCATTCATTTTATAAGCTTTGCTTTTTCAACTTTTTATTTTACCTTAGTGATAAACTTCTGAGATAAACTATAGTCTTAAAAATTTATAGGAAATATTTATAGGTAGACACTAATTTCG